CCCCGAAAAAAAACCCAAAAAACCCAGCAGACTGGACTGGAAGGGTTGTGAAAGAGCTTCAGAACCACACGGTCAGAAAGTGTGAGGTTCATGGGTAATGTGATAGGATGCTCTTTTTGCACATGTGGGTGGTTGGCAGGTGCTATTGTGTGGTTTGCTCCTTCTTTCCTATCAAACATTTATCGTCTTTATCTCCCCTCTTTTTTTATGTTTGTTACTCCCTTGTAACACCTCTAATTTACTGGTGCTCATATGACCTTATGCAGTTGGGAGCACCGTAAAACCTCTACCTTGTTCTCCAATGTGCCTTGAAGGAGTGAAAGAATGTGATGTGTACTCCAGCCCCTTCAGCCTTTGAAGTAGAAGTTTCAAGATGAACGGGCTTAAAATTTCATTGTCAAATTATATTAAATTAAGCAAATTAATCATGTCTTTCTGCTGGATCACTTACATCAGGATGTTTCCAAATTCTACCTGTCTTAAAGAAGATTTTTTTCTTAAATTAACTTTTTCTCAGGGGCTGGACACAACACCGGCCTATGTTTTAAAAATATGTTCCTCCTTTTTTTTAAAAATGTTTCATAATGTTGTTGAATTTACCTACCTTAGGAGTTTTTATGGCATTTTGTGTGTTTTTAGATGAATAGAATGCTAAGATTGTAACAGTGGATTTTTCTGTGTGTCTGTGTATAATTCATATTATTCATTATTTTAAAATTATTCTTTAAAATCATTATTTGTTTGGTTTTTTAAATTTTAATCTATACGTACGTGGAGTCATGGTCTCTTTCTTGGCTGTTTGGAATGAGCCCATCATTTCAATTGAGGAAACTTGTATTTCTGTCCCCGTCGTTTTATGCAAGAAAAATGAGGAAATTATGCAAACAGCACAAAAATGTCAAATTATTCGGTTCTGTTAATTTAACAAATAATGATAAAGGAAAATAATAAGAAATTATGCAAAAAATGATTGAATTTGGCTAAATTATAGCGGGGCGCATAAAACCACGGGGACAGGTATTTTTATCTAATCTATGATTCATCTGTGATGTGCATGGGTGTCATGAAAGTCATCTTGAACTTTATGCTTTTTCTTTCCACCTTAGTTTAAATTTAAGCAATACATGTAATGATAATATACATGTATGTAACAGAATCAAATAGTCTATGTGTATACTTTTCAACCTACCATATTTTTCACACTTTAAGTTTAAGTTTAAGCCATACATGTAATGATATAATATACACCTGTAACATAATCAGATAGACTATGTGTATACTTATCAACCTGACCATACTTTTCACAATTTCTAATGAGTCATGGTCTCTTTCTTGGCTGTTTGGAATGAGCTCATCATTTCAATTGAGGAAACTTGTATTTCTCCTGTTTTATCAGCTGGTGTGATCTTTCAAAATTTTCGTTTGTCATTGTGCAAACTGTATTCAATGTATGGTACAAATGACAGGGTATTTTTTATCTTCTTATGTTTTTTTAAATCAAAGTTTGTCATGTCCTTCAGAGTAGATGTCTTATTTGTATGATTTAAAGGGAAATATTACACTGCAAGAAAACTGCAGTTGCATGTATGTGACTAGTGTGCAATCATCTAATTTT